AATCCCTTTCCGGGATAGATAGTAGATAACCCTTAACTACTGCCTATTCGAGAAATAACCGATAACAAAGACTAGGAAGTCGAGGAAACCCTTTACGCGAGGACGAAGAGGTAAGGTAAGGGATTAAGACGTGAAGTACTAGTATAATAGGTAGGATACTATAAGCCTATATAGGAACCTTTAGAACTATTAGCGTAAATACAGGTATTTAATAAGTTTAAAGGGAAATTCGGTTTAGTAGTAATAAATAATAGCCTATTAAATACCTTTACGCTAATATACTATAGGAACCGATATATAAGCGATTATATCGCGATAATTAGAAAGGAGTAAGAGTTAGATTTAGTTTAGGCCGGATAAGCCCCGCGCCTTAGCCACGCTTAATATAAGCCTAGATTAATATCCTTAGCCTCGAAATCGTTATCCTTAGGATTATCGATTTCCGTAAAAGTCTTACCCTTATCGCCCTGTTATAGGTCGGAGTCTATCTCCTTAACCTTATTATTATCTTTATTATCGCTATTATCGGGGATTATAATTATACTAGCGACGGTTATACCCGTAGCCGTAAAAGCCCGCTTACGCTTCGCGTATTATTAGAATTCAGAGATTATAATATTAACGCGACCGAGTATAAGTATCTCCCTAAATAGCCGAGTATACTCCCTTAGCTCTATAAGACTAAGGCGTCTAAAGTCTTTATCCGATAATATTAACCCCGATAAGGGAGTAGGAGTAGTAGGATAGGCGTTCTTTTCTATTACGATATTAGGAGGGACTAAGCCTAAAACTACTACCTTACCTATAACCTTATAAGGAGGAGATAAGGCTAGCTATTTCGCCCTAATAACGACCTCCTTTGAAAGCGATACGTTTAGTCCCGATACTACCTTTTCTATAACCTTTCAGGGAGGAGAAAAGATTAGTATAATTACTTTATTAGCGACCTCCGTTACCGGAGGAAGTAAGGCCAGTTTAGCCACCTTATTAACGATCTTAGGAAGAGGTAATAAGGCTAACTACGGTGCTACCGCTTCTTAGACCTTCTAAGGAGGAGAAGGGGCTAGCGTGATTATTGTGCTAGGAGCCTCCGCGGGATATATAGCTATAGGTGATATCGCCGTTATTATTTCTTTAGCTATAAGGGTATCCTAGAACGCCGCGTAAGTATTAAGATACGGTTCTTACTCCTAAAAGAAGAGTTAGCGATACTATCACGACCTTTTAAGGGGGAGGAAGTCTTATAAGGGTATTCTTATTATTATCGCTAATAAGGGTAGCCGTCTCGAATAACCTTTACGCGTGGCCTCTAAGAAATATTAGGAGAGGAGTATACCGGTATATTTTCGTAGAGTATATATAGTATTTCTTCCCCCGATTAGTCTAGCTATAATAGAGGCGCTTATACTTCCTATTAGTGATATCGCGCGTGTAAGGGAGGTATAGCTTAGTATAAATACTACTAGGAGGGTGCTTAGGAGGCCGATTACCCGCCGATTTCTTCTTTTTAGGCGGCGGTAAGGGCGATAACGCGAATTATTATACGGTTAGTATCGCCTTAAAACGTAAGAGTATTATATCTATATCGTCGTCGGCGGTATATTTACTACTATTATTACCCTTATTATCGCCGGGGGGTAACGCTATCTATAAAAATAATATAAATTAGCGAAGAGTTCTTAACGAAAAGATCGCGAGTAAGAGACGGCTTACCTTAAATAGGGAACTCTTAAACTAACAGAGTATTACTATTATTATCTAAGGATAAGCGACGTTAAAGGAATTATCGCTATAAGGAAGAACGAGTATATACGTAACCGCTATTACTATTATTATTATTATTATTAAAGGTAGGGAAGGGAATAAAGGAAGAGAGGGCCTATAAGGAAACCGGGGCCGATATATCTACGGATAGTATCTACGCGAGGGTGGCCTATATTACTATTTCGGGTATATAAATAAAGGTTAGTAGGCTACCTAAGATTTCTTTAATATCGAGGTAGGAGCGAGGTAAGATAAAGGGACGCGACTATTCCTTTATTACCGTGATATATGGGGGAGCCGAACCACAATGGTAACGCGCGGTTATATAACCCCCGGAGTGAGAGGGGGGGGATAGTATTACGGGTTAACCCCGATATAGAGGATCCGGCTATACTCCGGATCTTCCTAACTATGCGCTTAGTCAACGGACCTATATCGCTAAGTCTTCGCTACCTTATAGCTAGCCTAGCGCTATAGACTTTTCTTATTTTTCTTCTTCCTTCCTTAGTTCTAGATAATCTATTATTACGACCTCACTTAGTGCCACGACCTATAACCAGTCATTTATAGGGCCGCTGCCGAAGTCGCGGACGCTAAATTATACGCTATTCTTTGAGCACTCTACGCTGCCCTAGAGTAGACGCCTAGGCCCCTAGAGTGCTATATTTTTAGCGACTTATAGGCGGCTATTTAGAAGCTTTAGCGCACCTTATAGTGGGCTATAGAAGCTAAAGACCTTATCTCACGCCTTAAATAACTAGGCACTTTGGTTTCTGTGTTATAGTGCCCCTCGTATATAGGGATAGAAGGGAACGAACTAGCGGATACAGTGGCTAAAGGGGCGTTAAACCCCGAAAAAGCTACTAAATCCATTAGCTTAGTTATGCTTAGCTATCTAAAACGCCGGGTAAATAAAGCCCTTATTTAAGACTAGAAGACCCTGTGGAATAACGAAGAGGAGGCGGAAAAAACAGGTAAATCGGTTCGGTTAGGCCGCCTATATAGGCGTCTAGTCCGCGATAACCTCTAGTTTCTCCTGAAAACCACTACTAATATAAGGCCCTAGGTGGGTAAAATTGGCTTTTATATCGTTAAAAAACGGCTTCGGTGACCTAAAAAGCCACTAAAAAAGTGCCTAAAACTGCGCTGACGACCGCTATTCCTGTCCCGGCTCCCCTATATAGGATACAGCATACCTTATCCTTTCCTGCCCTTTTTATAAAAACGAACGAAGAGCCCTGCGGGAAGCCTTAGCAGGCCTACCGCTATCTCTGCCGCTATTATACGGTACTAAAAGAGGAATACAGGCTTTATAGGCTTATCTTTTAGCTACTAAAATAGCCTCGGCAGAGTAGTATAGGGCGTAAACCATAATGCCTGCGGACTAGTTATTTTGGTTTGGGTTTTACCTATTAGGTTTATTAGGCAGATTGTTATGAAGGATTTCCTTTATTTAGTACGCTTTATTTTACTATACCTAGCTTCTAATAGCTTTTAGCCCTTAGGGCAATAGGCACCGCGTTATAGGTTTAGGGCTATATACGCGTAATAAATCAAAGAAAAAAGAAAAAAGGTTATATACGTTAATATAAAGGATATAATCGGGGACAGTTTAACGAAGGTATTACTAGAGGCGGGAATTAAAAGACTATAATAATCGCTTAATTTAACGGATTAAAAGGATTATATCGAGTAGTTAAAGTACCTGTATATAGAGATTAAACGCGCTAAAGCCGCGGGCGTAGCGATAATAAAAACCCCTAAGGGCGTAGCAGATCCGATAGATATAGATCCGATTAAGTAGATCCGGCTACTTAGGATTAAGGAACTAATTCAGATAGAATTAAATTAAATAGTTAAATAGGGCGGATTTAGATCCCTTTTATGAGGGCGTGTTCCCTTAACTATTAATTTTACGATAGAAAGGTTAAGAGCTTTTAGGTTAAACCGAAGCCTCTGATTAGTTAGTTAACCTAGGAAGACCTACCTTAACTAAGGGGGTATATCGTATAGGCACACGGACCACGATATAGTCCCTAGGGGATCTATGCCTAACTAAGGGCTTCGGACCTGAGGGACCTCGGGTATCAGGATGTAACGAGGGAGCATACCGGAAAAGACCAGATAGGATCTAAATAATATAGTACCTATAATAGAGTCTTTACCAACTACATTAAGGGCATAAAAGACTTACACAGATATAACTAAAGATAATATATCTACACGAGACTTCTACTCTATTAAGGTAATTATATAAGTGCTACTTTAACGTGCGATAACTAAGGCTTAAAAGGTAGAGATTAAGGAGGGGATAAAAGTCTCCTTTTCGAGGACCCTAATGGGTATAGCTATATATAAAGCTATAAACTAAGTACTAGAAATAACTTCGAACTTAATACTATATATATGTATTATCGATCTAATACTATATACTCTAGTTTATATAATATAACTAAAAGTAGAATTCCCCTACTAAATCTCTATATAGACTTACACGTATTACTTAATAACTTCTAGAATACTAAATACTTTTTTATATCGGTTATACGGTAGTATCTATGAATTTAAGGCTATTTTCTAATACATACCTTATAATTTTCACAAGTAACACTGATCTATTATAAATATTCTTACTTATATTCTAGTTTAATAAAAAAACACATACTAAAATAAATAAAGAAATAAGTCCTAACTTCTAAGTTACATTATAGCTCCTATACTAGCCGGATATAAAAGCTATGAATAGAATATTAGTACTTGAATTTTCATCTATATAGGGGTTTATTTATATAAAATTTACTATTTCATTACATAAAACAGCAGGGGTCCAAAACGCAGTGTTTTGGTGTAAAGTCGTGTCCCAAAAGGGGGTATGTCCTATATAATGGGGCGGGGACTTACTACGTGGTTAAGTTATTGATTGGCCTGGAGCCATAGGAAGGTAGTGGGTAGTAAGCCAAATGCTAGCTTCTGATTGGTTATAAATGCGGGTCAATGACGGCACTACAGTCGGAATAACCGGTTGCGGTAGTCGGAATAACGGCTCTTATTAAGTAATGCTCTCCATCTTGCGGTTCGTGTGAGCCGCATTCCAAGAACGGCAGGGCAGGATGGGTGTGGCTAGACCACACCTCCTCGAGAGACTCGGGGTAGAGATGAGAGCTGGGTTTTTCTCAGTTGTTTCTTCGCCCATCTTGCTCTTCTCCCGTTATCCCACGAGTTCCTCGTCCTCTTCTCTTCCGATTCAATAACCCTGCCACCCCCCCCCCCCAAATTCTTTTTGCAGATTTTGCGACCTGGCCCCGGGCTCGACATTTTGATCTTACTATGAACTTCTTCTGGGCTTTGTGCCTGACCGGTATTCTTCGCCGCGTGTCTGCAAGCGAAGACTGTGACTGCGGATACGCAGCGAAGGTGGGTAATTCTCGACATGTCTTCACAGACCTCATCGAGACGGACTTTGGCAAAGTAGCAAGCCTATCAAGAAATGCCGACTGGTTCAGCCCTGAGTTCAATAGAACCGGTGATCGCGTGAGGGGCCCGCTCGGCGAACAATTCAGCCGCAACAACGTCGACACGGTGGTGGAAGGGTCTGGGTCTGACCAAGCCCCAGGGCTCCGAATGTTTGTAAGAAACTCTACAGTTGACGGCATGGTCCCTGTTGCCGAAGTCGACTCAACCCGTCAGGAGATACAATGGGGTTCCTTCCGCGTGAGTATGCAGGTGCCGGATGTAGCTGGTACATGTGCTGCTTTCTTTTGGGTGAGTTCCCCTCCGTTCTTCCACCCCGCCCTCTGCCCTTTGCCCCCTGCTTTGCTTCTTCTTCGAGGTCAACTCCACGGATATTCTCCGTCAATATCTACAAATTGAAAGGTTTCAATTGTTGCGCTTCCTAGTCTTGCGACGGGTTGGAAACTAATCGGTACGCCTGGGCGCGCTCCAGTATCACAACGACACCCAGGAGATTGACCTAGAATTCCTCACCAAAGAGTTCGATCCCGGAAACAACACGTTCCCTCTCAACCTCGTGGTTCACTCCCTAGAGTCTCAAGCAGATGACTATGACCCTGTCGAGGCGGGCAGTTTTGTCAAAGTCCAACTCCCGTTCAATCCGACAACAGCATTCCACGAGTACCGATTTGACTACCTGCCCGGCAGAATCATCTTTTACGCAGATGGCGACACGATCGCTGAAATGGATGGGCCTGGCGTTCCCACAGCCGGAGGTCACTTAATTCTGCAGCACTGGAGTAGCGGAAACCCGCTCTGGTCAGGAGGGCCTCCGACTGAAGATGCGGTCCTCAACATTCGTTATGTCAAGGCCTACTTCAATTCGTCGTCCGTGGAGCGGAGGGAGGAACTCGCACGAGGCTGCACGGATTCCGCGACCCAAAACGTATGCGACATTCCCAACGATGAGGACTTCTTCTTCAACGACCAGGATAGTGATGACCAGGGCGGTCAGAATGGCGGAGACGACGGCGGGCCGGAAGATAGCACCAACCATCTATATCCATTATCGACGTGGGGCATATTGGCTGCCAGTCTGGCAGCAACATTTTGCTACGTGTGAATGACTGTCGTCACAGCAGGGATGTCATTGAAATGGCGCAATGGAGAGATAATAGGCAATGTCGGGGTGGATTGTCGTGATGCACGTGGGACTTGGGCGTCTTGGATGGTGTCCGTACGTACGTAAACGACTAAGGTGGCTGAGGTGTCGCATGGGCACAGGAGCATGCCTGACTAAGGGCTTCAGACCTCCGGGTATCAGGATATGATAAGGGTGGATATCGGGAAGGACCGGATGGGATCCAATTGATATAGTACCTATAACAGAGTCTGCAACACCTAAATTAAGGGCATAACAGACTTACACAGATATAACTTAATATAATATATATATATATATATATATATATATAAATAAGATTTCTACTTAATTAAGATTATTATATAAGTACTATTTAACGTATAATAGAGATCAGCCCGGTTTATGACGCTAAAAAAACCAAAGATGTTAATAGCTACCCTATACTTCTACTATAAAAGTAATTAATTCTTCCTATAACTTATATTAGCCGCCCTACTATTATTAGTATAGGCCACGGCGTACTATAAAAAGCCTTAATAGCCGACCTACTTCTAGGTATTACCCTAGCCTTTAGGCTTAGCGTAACGCCGCGCGACGCGACTAAAAACAGTATAACGGGTATTATTAGATAGCTAACTCCCGGATCTACTAAGCGGCACTAGGTATAGCGAAGCGGAAGGGAGATACGACCCTATAATAGTCTTAGAAGGCTACTATATTACTACCTACTATTATAGGTTAACCCCCTAAGAAAAGTTTTCGACGCTATAACTAGGAGAAAGAGGGCCTAAGCAGCCCCCCGCTATAAGGGGCGCCCTAGCCTTACTAGCCTAGGTATAGTAGTAACGGAAGGCCTCCTAGTAAACCCTAGACTCTAATAATAGTACTAACGTACCCGTTAATAATATGCCCGCTTATAACGCTAATAGAAAGAATAAAAGCTTTACTAATAGAGCCCGGATATAAGTATAATAGATAATAGAAGAAGCTATAGCCGCCTTTAAACGCAAGGAGAATACCGTTAATATCCTAATATAGGCTATTAAATAGGGTATAAACCGGGTAAAGGAGTTACCCGAAGTCGATCTAGACTTTATAGGATAACTCGGGAATAAGTTTATAAATTTAATTAAGATAAGGGGCCCGGCCTATATAGCCGGCGATACCGCCCTACTTATCCGGGCTACTAAGTAGCCTAATAGTATATAACCCCTAGCCGGGTAGAAAAAGCCTATTAAGTCTACTCGAACCCCCTCCGGCGTTACCCCGCCCGGGGGAGCGATATAAGCCCCTCCGAAAAAGGACCTATTACCCCTTACCCTTTTGACCCGGGAGTAGACTATTATTACGAAGAAAGTGGGGAGGAAGACTATAAGCCCGGAAGCTAAGTTGTATAAGGCTAAAACGAAGAACGACCCTAAGGTCTTCCTCTGCTACCCCGATAATATACTACTAAAGCTCGAAGTATAAGAAGCCTTAATAGTTATCTATAAAGCTATTACCGAGACGAAATAGGTTAACGATTAGGATATTACCCTGATTAAGCGAATCTATACCGGAGTAATAATAGTCCTTAAAAATACGAAAGCGCGCTAGAAGATCCTTAATACCGGAGATACTATTATTAACGCTACCTTGGCACTACGCTTCTAGGAAGCTAAGACCTAGTATATCTACTATATCCACGAAGTTATTTATCAGATTAGCTATAATAAGGTTATAAAGGAGACGGTTACGGATAAGGCCTAATAAAGTACTAGCCTAAAACTAATATATATATAAAGGCGTACCTAATAGAGTAGAGATAGTCTTTTAAGCTAGGTAATCTTATTCTAGACTCTGCTAAGTAATCGGTTCTATGTATTTAAAACCTTTATACTCTCTAGGCACTATAAGAATAACCGCCCTCTTATATAATACGATAAATACTAGGGATATTACTCTTAATACGCCTATAATAGTAAGCCGCGATATATTTATTAAAGATCCGCTAGGGGAGAAGACCACGAATACAGTAAGGTACGGTATATTAACTATTACGGACCTTACTAAGCGAATAGCCCGAACTACCCGGTCTGTCTAAGACGCGTTAACGGCGAGGTTATGACCCTATTAAAGACCGAACTTAGTAAGATACGGGTGAAAGGGAACGCTAGCTATATAAAACTATAGGCTACTAAGAAAACCGCCTCTAACGCCGTGGATATTATAGTTATAGCGGCTACCGCGAATACTAGTAATAGTAATAAAACCTAGAATAGTGTCTTGGAGAGGGAGGGAATAAAAGTAGATAAGCCTACCGATAACCCTAATAAGACTAATACCCCTAATAAACCTAGGACCCTAGCCGAGGAGGGAACCTAGGAACCGATATAATTATAGACCCTAGCTAAGAAGAAGACGGATAATAAAGATAATTAAACACCCTTAATTACTATAAATAAGAAGACTGGTTATATAGAGCCATAGCTACGGAGAGGCGAAATGCCGGTATAAGAACCCTTATAAAAGCCCGTACCAGCGTTAATAACTACTAACCTAAAAACGAACAAACCGGAGATATAACCGGTAAGAAGGCGACCGGGGTGTTATAACTCCCTGGACGGGTTTATTATATCTTTAATAGAACGTAGATAAGAACCGTTACCTGTTAAAGGCCGTATAGAGAATAGCAGATAAAGCGAAACTCGGTATACTAATACAATAAAAGCTACTAAAAGCAAACGCCCGGGTTAGGACCTTATTAAACCTGCTAGGCTATATGCAATTCCCGCCGATAAGGTTATAGCCTAGCCCTAGGGATAAGTTAAGGCTAGTATCTATATATAAGCGGGACTAAACACGTAATAGATAGAATCTCCCTTACTAGGGTTAAGGGACCTGCTACTAGTAAAGGTAAACGGGATACACTTCCTAAATATCTATAGAGGACTATCTAGAGATCCAGATACCTTGAGCTTATTAGTGGATTAGATTCCCACGACGAATATTATAATCGGAGGGGACTTTAATATAAGATACCAGGATATTAAAGATATCCTTATATAGAATGGCATAATAGTGAGTAACCGAAACGTTCTAAGTGAATAGTGGTTTGTCTATAGGTAATAGGTCTTAAAGTCTTAGATTATTCGTTACCCGCCTTTAGAAAGACGTCCCTGGAGCGCTCCTTTTATAGCTATCCGAGGTCTAACTGGAATCCTCCTATCTATCCCGCCTAACTCCCTTAATATAAGACTATTATACCTAATATCTGAATCCTTAACCTCCTATTAACTCCTAGTAGTTCTATATCTAACGTCCTATAGCCTAATATCTAGGAATCTGGATATAGCCTCGGCCCTTTTAGGTCATGGCGATATCCCTTAATACTCCCTAGATTCTACCGGGAATACCAGGGCGTACCACGGACGTACCACGGGCGTACTATAGCTTATGCCATAGCACCTATAGGGTATACTATAGGTACCTTTAGGGTATACTATAGGTACCTTTAGGGTATACTATAGATACCTTTAGGGTATACTATAGCTTCCCTAGGATATAATTAGTGAATACCGGGGAATCCCCCGTGTTCCTATACGTAGAAGCCGAGGATTCTACGGGGAAACCCCGTGGATACATAAGTCCCGGGGGCGTGCGCCCCCTTAGCTTAGAGAAGATATCTTTATTACACCCTATTTTCTATACCTAAAGGTCGTTATTTCGAACCCTAGAAGCCCTAGGTCCGATAGTACTGGCTGGCCAGAGATATACCTGGATAGGGTATATTATCCCTCGTGGTTAGTATCCCTTAGCTATATAATAGCGATACTATAGCGATAACCTATTAATTCTTGGTATATCTGCTATTAGATAGGCCTTTCTAGGCTATAGATATACGTCTTATAGATACTATCCCTTAGCTATATAATAGCGATAGTCTAGCGACGATCTATTAATTCTAAGTCTGTCTGCTACTAGATAGGCCTTTTTAGGTCGTGAATATAAGTCTCGTGGATACTATCCCTTAGCTATACTATCGAGATAGTACTATATTAATAACCGGTTAGTCTGTGATATATCTGCTATTATTAACCCGATAAGCTAAGTATATCTTATTATCCCTTTCTTACTATATCCGTGATATAATACCCCTCCGTAAAGCGTCTATCCATAGGCGGCTATTGGATAAAGTGGTAGGCTGGTGACTATAATAGGTGTAATAATCTATTATAGGCTATATAGTATTTAGTTAACGAATAGTTTATTCACGAATAATAGTATTCCTTTAGAGATATGAACCTATCGTGGGTTAGTAGTTATCCCGTTATAAAGTAACTAAAAGGTATTTAGTTTAATATCTTTTATTAATTTATTCTCTTAACTAAGACTATTACTTATATTTTCAATAATTATAGGGCTTTATTAGTTAGATAGTCTATAGATAATAGCCTGTTAGTAACTATCGTATAGGTAGTTAATACCTTAGCCCCTATTATTCTATGAATATAGTAACTCGGTCAGGTAAGTGCTCGTACCTATTACTTAATAAGATAAAATAGAAGCCACGGCGGCCTTATAGGCCGTAGATATTATTCTATGCCTTTTAAAGTCTTATAATCCTCTTCCTATTCTTCTTAGACTATTATAATAGCCTTAGTTTTTAGGTTATAGCAGGTAAGTTAAATCCCGGCTATAACGCTATTAATCTTCCGTTACTCTAAGCGTTAACGAAGATTAATATCTTTACGTTCCTCGGTTATAAACTCCACGTTATATACGTTATTAATAGTTAGATATAGGCTAACACCTATTAGGGATAGCCCTAGTTAATTAATTCTCTTTTCCTAATAATAAAATTCCTTCTATAAGGCTTCCTTACCTTCCCTATGCTTTTACCTTTATTAGGAGACTAACAATCTAATAGCTCGCTATTCATTCGTTGATATATATTCTAAAGCGGCTCCGGAGAATACTACCGCTATTAGCGCTAGTAGTAGTGCCCCGGCTACGCCGGGTAGTAAGCGAAAGGCTAGGGGTACCGCTAAGAGGGCCCCGAAGTGCGCGAAGACTACCGGTAATAGGGGTGTTACTGTTAGCGGTAGTAGTAGTGGTATAACTCCGTTACCGGCCGCTTCTTCAGGGACTAATAATAATTCTACTACCTCTATTACTAGTACGCCTAAGACTATA